ACGTACCACTTTGTTTGCTCTCTTAAAATATCAGCCGTTCATGTTGAGATTGGTGTTGAAGCATTAGGCTACGTGCAAACTTTATGTACTCCTCTATTCACATCGATTGATTATATGCACTTGAATTTAAATAATATTTTATATGATTATATAAGAAAAAAATAAAAATTAAGACATTAGAGTATTTAAAATGTTAAAATTTCTTGTGAAGTAAAATTATTTAAATATTTTTCATTTCAACATTTTAATTATAGTTAAATATTAATTTTAATCTTTTAATTTTAAAGTTTCATATAATTTTTATTTTTTTACCCTTTTTTGTAATTTAAATTTAAAAAATAAATATTTTTTAATCTTTTTTATAATTTAATCCATTAAGTTTGTTTATATATATTTTCAGTCTATAAACTTATAATATATATTTTTAATTCTTAAATTTACAAGTTCACTAACTAAAAATATGCATGTATAGATAAATTTAATGTATTAACTAACAAATGGATGAAAAAAGTGTTTAAAAAATTTGAGAAATAAAAACTATATAAAAACCCTAAAGTTGAGAGAGTAAAATTTACATATAACCTTTAACTATCAATATGCCATATTTTTTGCAATTTCATAATATAAATACTAGTTTAAATAATTTTTATCAAATAAGATTACTTGATTGATAAAAGAACTACACATAAAGGCCTAATTCAATAAGAAAAACGTTAAACAATAGATAAAGTGGACTGAATGTAATGTATAATTATCTCTAAGAATATCTTGTTCATTGTTGAGGTGTTCTGATTTTATCTCCAGCATGTTATAGGAGGATTATAATATGGGATGAGATTTATTTACATATAAAATTTATACATTATATTTACATAAATTTTTAATTTTTTTATTTTTAATAATTTAGATTTAATATTACTTTTTAAATAAAAATAATTATTTTTAATAAATATAAATAAATTTTAATTATTAAAATTTTATATAAATCTTATATATAAAATGTATATGTAAATAAGTATTTAATTTTATAATATTAATAAATTCCAGCACCTCCTATAGTAATTAAAATTTAAAACGAGATAAAATTTTGGTCAACCATAGTTTGAACGTTTTGTGCGAAGATATATAATTTTCTAAGTTTTAGTAAAGAGCCCATTAAAGTAAGCGTATTTGCACGCAATGCACGAAAGAACTCTTAAAAATGCTACTAATATTTTGTTTGAATTCGTTGTTTTATAATTTAAATTGATTTAAATTATAAAATAAAAATTTATAAATAAAAAGATAATTTAAAATTAAGATATTTATTTTTTATTAAAAATTATTATTTTATAATTTAAAATAGTTTAAATTGTAAAAAAAATTCATATTATTATCTTGCAAAATAAAAAAATATGCAAAAAAAAAAGTGAAATAGAAAAATAAAAAAAGAGGTAAAGAGACTAGAAAAAAGATTGTTATTTTTGTTCATTCTTCTATCTCTTTTTTATATAATAACAAATCTTATATACAGGTAGGAAGTAGAGTGGCAGAAATTATAATACAAAAGTTAATAACTTACTATACAAGAATAAATTATCATTTAATTATATAAAATTAAGAAGTGTTAATCATTTTATAATTGTATGGAGGTATTAAAAGTTAAATTATCATTTAGTATATAAATACAATAAAAAGTGATGAGGTAGAAGATAAAAAAGACAAAACATTCACAAACCTATTAATTCATAATATATTACAAATTTTTTTAATTCTTGTATTTTTTTTCTTCAAACTTCTTTATTGGTTTGTTTTAATTCTCAAATAGCACATAAAATCTTTAATTTAAAAATCTCACATTTTAATTTAAAAGTCTCAAATTTAATTTATAAACACAAATTTAATCAAGAGTAAAATTAGAGATTTGAGATTCACTAGGACATTAAATATCTCTATCAACAAAACAAAAGAAATTCTAGATGTTAAGCTATTTAACACAAAAATTTGGAAAAAAAGGAAAACCCAACAACAATAACTAAAAGATAAAAAAGAAAAAGAAATTGTTGGATTGGATCACAACCTATAATCATGATCATTTGTACCTAATAATTAAAGATGACGAATCTTTCATACGTTATAAAAATCTGTTGATTTTAAAATTACCTATCTTGATACCTTTGACAACTAATGATGGCTTGAATTAGTCCCTAAATTTTACTTTTTGGATTAACATAATGATGATTGGTTAAATTTTATAATTATAATATTAATTAATATATAAATGGTGCACTATTAATGTTCGTCATGTACTAGTGAACGTTTGGGAAATTGCAGGATGGTGCTCGGCACGCGTGTCCTTAAGCCATAAAACGTCCA